CCTGCTGACGGACACATGCAAATAAGTGTCTGGTCGGATCTGTAATGGGGCAGGGGGTGGCGGAGGTCCCTGCCACTTCAAGAGGAGCTGCTCTGGATCCTCGGGTTACAGCCTTGGGCTCACTCTGCCTGGAGGGCAGCTGTGTCTCTCTAAGCCGCGGATTTCTAAACCCCTCCAAAGGTGTGTTAGCTTTTTGAAGCACTGGGGTGAAGGCTGGGTCTGTGGTAATGAGGCTGGGAGGGTGAAACGGAGACAAAAAGCCCGGGGGGGAGAGAGAGAGAAGGAAAAACCCTGTATTTTTCAAGGAAGCACTTGGGAGGACAGATGAACATTCTCTAAACAGGTGCATGAGAAGCGCTAACTCAAAAGCCCGTCAAGCAGGGCCTCTGATCACACCTTTACTTGCCCTCCTAGAGGTGTGGTGGGCTGTTCCCACGTCATTTTCTGCTTCACACGCAGCACAGAGAGAGAGTGGTAGAGGTTCCTGAGAGCTGAATTCTCTGCAGAAGAAATGAGACAGAAGAAAAGATGGCCAAGGACCAGACAGACCTACGAGAGAAAGGAGAGAAAGGAGAGCCCGGAAACAGATGTGTGTGCAGCCCCTGCCTCACACCAAATGCAGAAGCCAAGCCCTTGCAGGTCACAGACCTTGGTGCAACACAAAAAACTGTTAACATTAATGGAAACAGGAGGGGACAGTTTGTGACTTGGGGGTGGGGAGAGATTCTTTAAATAAGACCTGAGAGTCTAAACATGGCATCAGAATGAAGGACTTCCGTTCAGTAACGTCCACAATTGACAAAGTCATCCCGTGAGCACCGTATTGGAGACATTCCACCTTGTAAAATCAATAATGTGTATGAAACCCAAGAAACCTTTGCAAAACCACAAGGAAAAGGCAGGAACAACATGTATTTTTAAAATCGCAAAGGATACAAGTAGAGAATTCGTAGACGGGGGTATAAGTCAAATGGGAACTAAGTATGTGAAAAGATGTGATATCAGACAAATGTTCATCAAAGCAAAAAGAGGTCCCCTATGCCCACCGGATTCGAGAACACAAGAGGTACCCAAGCGTGGCCACTGGTTTGCTTGTTTCGCATCCGGTTTCTACAGGACGAGACTTTTGTGTATCAGGTACAAGAACCTGAGGTCTCCCCTCTCCACCTCTTCCCCTTCAGCCCCCTCCCCGCCTCTGCAGCTGCGTTAAAATAGATCTTCTCAGGGTGGGGCCACCACCCAACTCTTTTTTTTTTGCATCTGCTTCAACTTGGAAAGCACGGTCCAAAAGTACTCTACATAAAAAGCAAAACAAACAAAATAAAACAAACAGAGAACACCCTCTGCAGACCTTCAAGGCGCTGGGTGGAGGTGGGCTTACATCTCCCAGGTCAGGAGCTTAGTGCAAAGTCACATACAGGCACCAAGCAAAGGTTTCTTAGTGGAGAAAACCCTAGAGGTGATTTCAAAGCAGGTAAAACCAAGTCCTTCCAGCAATCATGTCAGTTGGTACTAGTGAATGCAATAAGAAGCTTTAAGAACATTCATGTATGTTTGGTTTTAAAGTGATAATTAAGACAGAATGAGACATCCTCCCTTTATAGGCTTGATTAGACTAACTTCAAAAGCCATATTTGCATGCCCTGGACACTTGACCATTTGAGGGGTCCATGTAGCCCTGAAGCCTGGGAGGGGAAAGTGGCCTGGGATTTAGCAAAAGATGGAGGAACTGGGCAAGGCTCTTGATGTCAGTGCTGCCATGAGGCACGAGGCTGCACAGCTGGTCCTGATGGACAGGTCTTCAGGCAGCTGTGGCAGAGCAAAGGTTGCAGCAGTGGCCTCAGTCCCTGGTGGCCAGGCCCGGTCCTGCACGGAACATGGACATCTGCTCTCTGACCCAGGAGGTCATGCTTGTCCCTTGTTTGGATGAACGCATGACGGCCTCATTGGGAAATACCTCCAGACACCCTCAGCAGTGATGAGTACGTGCAGGTGGCTGGACCCGTGACTGACGAGTGAGCATCCAGCACGCAGGTCCGTGGAATTAACTCCTTGAATAAAATAAGAGGAAGCGAGGACATCTGCAATGGGCCATGTCGAACCTTCTCACGTCACAAAGCAAAGCTGTGAGAAGAAAGGGCAAAGGACAACGCTCCAGAATCAGGCCGCAGCCCCACACGCCGGGGTGGGGGACGGGGGGACGGGCAGTCACGGTCCAGCCACGGGGACCCCTGGGCTCCAGGCTGCGGAGCTCTGTCCAGGGTGCCGACGAGTCCAGGCTGCAGCTTTAGGCGCTGGCACCCACCTGCTGGGGTTCATGGCTGCTCCATTTAGACGAGCAGTAGGCCAGCCTGTTGGCGGGGAGGACACTTGGTAGACCCATTGACATCCTTTGTTCTCAAAATGACAGCTGCAACTTCCCATTTGACTGAAGCCATTGGGTAAATTTATTGTTAGCACTCTCTGGACACGATCAAGACACCTCCCTGCCAACTGGTGCGTCTTAAAAATAAATCTGCCCTCCCCCAAATTGTGTGTGTTGGACCGGGCATCTATGTTACAGTGAGCTGCACACAGAAGGCTTAGATCCCTCGTCTTCCAGCCCAGGACACAGCAGCCACTCTGGGGGTGGAGACGGGGAGACTTGGGGCCGGGGGGAGGCTCTTCTTTACACCGGTGACGCTTGAAACCTAACCAGTGGAGAGTCCTCGGAACGTGGGAAAGCAGGAGGGAAGGAGGAAGGAGCAGGTTGATTGAGTGCTGTGGTCCAGAGGGAGGCATACCTAGCAGGTCAGACTCGGGCCAGAGCCAGGTCTGCAAACTGGCCATCAGATGAATGCACAGCACCAACCCCCCGCCAAGGAAAACCCTTTCTTATTCCTAATAAAAATCTCCCTGGGCCACCTTGAGGGGCCCAAATGAAAACTCAGCCAGGAGCTAGATGGGTCTCAAGGGAGACCTGGCCCAGGTGAAGAGAGCTCCGGTCCTTCCCCACCTCCGGGTCTCACTGAGGCTTTCATGAGTCCCTGTGCCAGAAAACTCCCTTAAAAAGTCACACAGTTTTTAACTAATCTTATTACGTCAGCGCGGATTTCATGGCTGCCAACCATTTTGTGCGTTATCTCCCCCTTTTTGCATGACCATGTTAGTTAGGTTTTAAAAGACGATGAGAAAGATAATTCATGAGAAAATCATAAATACTGAGTGTGGGCACCAAATGTGTTTTCAAAATAGGACATTTTTCTTCTTAAATGGGATCAAAAAGCTTTGCGATTTTTAAAAATCTTTTTGCATTCCAGAAGGTCATGATGTTACTTAGCATTCTTACGAAAGGAAAAAAAGCAAACAAATGTTGAAAAGGAAAATATCTCAGTCAGTGCATCCCGGGGCCAGGGGGAAATTCCACCTCCGTGATGTACATTTGGCCCTCGGCTGAGGGCTGTTTGCTTTCCATCACCTTTGTGTATTCAGCTGAGCCTCTGCATTTCAGGACGTGTGGCAAACGCAGATTAAATCAGCGATGGTGTTAAAACAAGACTGTAAAGGTTAACAGACCAGAAAATGGACAAATTACCGCCACCGGCCATGGCCAGCCCCGCAGCTCCGTCCCTTCTCTGTCCTGCCTTGAGCTGCCTGTCAGACCTTTGGCCCAGCTTCCCGAAGGCCAGTTAGAAAAATCACTTCTGGACACCGTGCCCCCCGCCCCACTAGGTATCACAGCAGGGACCCCGAGGCCAAGCTGGAGGTGGTGGCGTCTGAGTGTCATCCCCTTTCCCACCGGCGTCTCCAAATAAGGTCACTGGAGTCACTTAACTCGAGTCAGATTAGAAATTCATTTCCTTTCCAGAAATAACTCTGGGCACCAGCAAATGCATGTGAGTGGAGGGAGGCCGTGGAGAGGATGAAGCCACGTTAGGAGACAGTGAATCCACCAATTTCCTGATACATTCTGGTCTCTTTGTCAATACTAAGCATCACAAGCCCAGAAGAATTAAAAGGGGAAGACACCCCTCCGTGTACAGCGAGGACGGGACAGTTGTGGCCCTTTTGTCGCTGTGCAGAGAGCCTCAGACGTTGCCACGACGATGAAGCTCAGAGCCAGGTGGGCCTGGGCACCAATCCGGCCTCCCTGGCTTTCACTGCTGTGTGATGCTGGGGGAGTAACGTAGCCTCTCTGTGCCTCGGTCCTCTCTTCTGAAGGATGGGGATATGGTAGCCCCCACCCCGCATAGGGTTGTCGAGAGAATGACAGCAGGCCAGGCGCCTGGCAGACTGCCAGACGTGGGCACTCGCAGGCAGAATGGCCCTTACTGTGACGGTCGCCATTTGCCTAGCCTCTCCTGCTCAGTTTCCGGGGCTTGTTTCCTCGTCTGCGGGTTGGATGTGTGGCGCCGTCCAGGCAGCCCACATGGAGATGGGGGTGGGGTGGGGTAAATACCATACCGACTGGACGGGACTTTGAGCCACGGAGGCCACGCAAAGCTTCACTCTGCTTTCTGACATTTTCCACCTCGTTCTGGCCCTCAGGTGCTGGGAGGGCAGCTGTTCCCACCTTGCACGCAGGCAGTTCTGGCATCCGTCTGCCAAACAGTGCGTGCAGGTGCATCACGGGCCCACCTGTCCTCGGGGCCAGTGGGACCCTCACGGCCAGACTCCGCTCCCCTCTAAGCGGTGGGTCCGCGTCCACAACACATCGTCCTGGGCCTCCTCAGCCCAGCGGGCAGATCCAGTGCCTTCACCGTGGCCCTACTTCCCGCTTTATCTCCACAGCACTGACCGCTGCTGGGGCCACGTTTGCACTTGGGTAACGTGCTAACTCCCTCTCTGTACCGGGATCGCAGCAAGGTGGTGCAACGATGTCGGATTCGTGTGCAAAACCTGTATCCTGTGTGCAGAGTCTGCCAGGTAACAGGTTCTGATGGTGCCCTTCTCACTGTTCCCTGGGACGGAGGTGTCAGAGGAAAGGGAGGAGGGAGTGGGAAAGGGGTGTGTGTGCGTGCATGTGCGTGTGTGTGTGCACGTGTGTGTGACAGAGTCTGTACATGAACCATGCCTTGCACCACCCAGCTGGCAGCAGAGCTCTGTCCTGCCTTCCTGGAGGGGTCTCGTCACCCTTGGTCCCCAAGGGCCCTCCTTCATCAAAAGTGACTCCCCTGGGGGGCCGACCCACGCCCAAGGGCGGGCAGGACTCATCACCTCCAGGCTCGTTGCCTGGTCTTGCTGAGCGTGTGGAGCTGCATTTCATGGAAGAGTGAAAACAGGCACCAGGCAGGCCCTGGCCTTCCACGTGCTCACACAAAACACTCTGGAATTTCACTCGGGATGCAGGGAGCCTGAGCCCAGCCCCGATCACAAGGGTCACGAGACCTGCGCTTTCCAGGGCGAGAGCCCTCCCCGAGGTCCGTCTCCCCCAATTACACGAGCATCCCTGCTCCGCTCCCCGTTTCGCCCGAAGTGATGCCCACAGCAACGTTCGCCGGGCGCTCCGTAATTGCACCCTTATCGTGAGCCGCCGGGTCGGGGAGCAGCCGTCTGTCAAACGCCTTGTCCAAAAAATGGTAATAAAAAATGAAAGAAGCCCATGCGTGTGTGTGTGTGGGGGGGTGCGTGTGCACGCGTGTGGAGGAAGGGGAGCGTCAGGAAGAACAGACGCCAAACAGAAGAGCTCCTCCCACCCGCCCCTGCGGCCTCCACCATGGAGCGTGAGGCCACTTCTTTTCTGAGCCTTGAACCCCGAATGTGCCAGGAGCAGCTCTCATGGCTCTGGGCCAGCCACCCTGCCCGGGAGCACGTCCACGCAGAGGCCAGAGAAGCATTTCTTCTGAGGCCAGATATTGCCCATTCTGGGTCCTGTGCTCTTCTGCAATTATTTGAGGTGCATCCCAGTATCAGGACTCACTAGAGATCAGCGTCAGCGTCCAGAAAGGCTCATTAGCTGCACAGGGAAGCACAGGGCCGCGGGGAGACGCCGTAATTATGTTTGCATCTCATCCTCCGCGGAAGCTCTCTGCCTCTCACACTCAGGTGGTCACCATCTCAGGATTCTTCCTCTGGGGCTTAAAAACCTTGTATTCTTGGCTTCGGACACAAGGGTTAATTGGGGAGAGAGCAGAGACATCAGCGCTGCACCGCGTGAACGGCGCGGTCTCTGCGAGGTTACGGAGAAGGGGGAGCAGGTCAGGGCCGGGCGCAGAGGACCGTGGCCGTCGTGTGTGCGTGTGTGCGTGCCCACGTGCACACGTGTGGGTGTGTGTGCGTGTACTGCATACTCACACGCACATAGGACACTCCCTGAGGCTTATTATATACCTAAGCCTCTTCTTGCCTTATCGGCTGTCTTGTCAGAAATAGTTACAGGAATCGGAATCTTTACTTCTCCAGCTGGAGAACTCCTCTGCAGGCTTCCTGATGCGGCTCAAATGCCACCTCTTCCAGGAAGCCTCACTAGCATCCCCAGCACTTTGCACACTAGGAACTCTGTCCTGGGGGGCCGGGGAGGGGCTGGGAGACAGGACCTCCTGGGGTGAGCGCCCGGGAAGGTCTTCTTGCTCAGGGTCCCTCTGGGCTCCCCCTCCCATCGCTGCTGCACCGTCTCCCCCGCAGGGGCAGGCTTCTCTCAGCTCTCATGCTGCCTGCAGGCTCTCCTGCCTCACAGGGCTCCCCTCTCCTCGTGCGTCCTTGTCTAGGTCCACACGTGGCCAGGCTGTCCTGCCGACCTCCTCAGAGGGGCTGCCTGGCTCCAGGGCTCTCATTTCCCACCAGGAGCACTTCTGGGTTGTGGCTTCCTCATCCACCCCCCGCTGGAAACAGGCGCCCTCGTCCACGGCCGCGTCCCAGCTCCCCCGCTGGGCCCCACACACGGGAGCGGTCAACCGAGGTCTTGGCTGCCTCGAAGAACGAAGAAGTGGCCCACCCAGAGGCTTAAGTTTATCTACCCTCCACCTAGATGGAGAGCTTCGAGAGCAGGTCCACGCCGCCCTCTTCTGTGCCCTCTGTACCCACACGGTCTCTGGTGCACAAGAGCTGCTCCACCCAAAGCTTCCACCGTGCCCGCAAATCACCTGGGATCCGGTTAACACACAGAGCCCGACTCGGCACGTCTGGGGCAGGGCCCCAGCTGATGCGATGCTCCTGGTCTAGGGATCACACTTAGAGCATCGAGGGCTTAACATACGTTTACTAAGTCAGTGACCCCACAGCTCCTGGGCAGGCCTGCCAGGCATCATTTATTATCTGCCACCATTGCTGCTGGCCTGGCACACACAGTACGTGGCACGTGGCAGTTGCCCAAATATTTTCTGAATAAATAAACATACGAACTCCACAGCAGGGAACAGCATGGAGAACGGCAGGCACCAGCAGGCACCAGGATGAATGCAGCTGAGCTAAAAGGTGGAGCCTCGACTTTCTTCTGCACCACCTCGATGGCAGAGGATGGAACATCGGAACCAAACCAGTGGACATCAACTACTGCCGCAGAGATGACCCAAAGAGGTCCAACCTCTGCTTCCACCCCCGTCCCAGCTGGCGGGGCTGGATGTGGGCAGAGGTGGTGAGGTGGCACCTAGGCAGGTACAGGGAGGCAGGCAGTGGCATCTGAACCAGCCACAGGAGGAACAAAGCCAAGGGTCTGTCCCGAGTCTGTCCAGTGAGCACCTACTGCGTGCTGGGCCTTGAGAGGGCAAGACAGACATCAGGGCCACAGGTCAGGAGTGTGTGGGAACTTGGGGTAGGAGAGGAGTGGAAGGCAGGGGAGGTGCCTCAACGAGGGACAAATGAGCAAGGCGTTGAAGGATGAGTAGGAGTTCACCAGCAAGCGAGCAGGTAAAGTAAAAGGTCCACGAGGCTATATGAAAGTAATTAACACAGGTGTCTCTGGCTGAGTGCTTACCCTGTGTTAGAGTCTCACAGCAGTTTGGTGACATGGGCACTACGGGGGTTCCCACCGCAGAGATGGGAAAACTGAGGCTCAGCTCAAGGTCCTGTGGCTGAGAAGTGGAAGATCCCTGCCTGGCACTGAAGTCTGCGTCCTCAACCATTACACACACGTGTGCCGCCTGAAGACAGCACGGCTGCAGAGCCGGCTCCTATCTTTGCTGCACCAGGAGGTGCCGTGTGCTCACGATTCGGAAAGCAACGAAGCCAGGAACTGACTGTCGACCCCACTGCCCTCCTCTTTCACAGCGCTTTGGCCCAAAATTAAATGACACGACATAACCCTTGTGGTTTCACGCAACTGCTGCCCTACGGCCACGGCCCCGCCGCTCCGCCACCGCGTACCCCTGCGGCTGGGCTGCGTTCTTCCCTCTCCCCTCCAACCCCCCGCCCCATATTCTTAGCGGAATTCCGGGAGCCAGCCGGTTTTGAGAAAGATCTCCGGATAGGCAGGCAGTCTGTTCAACTAGCGAGCACTCCTAAATTATGACAAAGCCTTCACACTTTCTGTCATTCAACCCGTGTGCCTGTCACTTCAACTCAGCACCGGCAGCGTCTCTCTGGAACGGCTGATGCTCTGTCCTGTGGCCGGGGTCCCTGCCTTTGTTTTTCGAGCGATGCGCACAGGGTGAAAGGCGGCTCCAGTGTCACGCGAGGTGCACGGAAGCGGGGGTTCAGCTTCAACCAGGACTGGGGAGAGGAAGTGTCAGGAGGAGAAAGGTGGGGGGAGAGGGGAGGGAAGGCCGAGCCGCGGCCGTGGTGATCAAGGAGGGGGCACAGAGAAGATTCTAGGTGCTTCTCCGTCTCTGCCTCTTTCATTAGCTCAGGGCTTGCTTCACAGGAGTCTGTGCTCTCAGAGGGAAAACGTGGTCCGCGGTCCCCTCCGGCGCGTCCCTGAATCCAGGGGGGCTGTGCTGTGCGGCGTGCCTGCCCTGCCGGCTCGGGGGCTGGGGCTCAGGCCGGGTTGTCCACTTAACACGTATGCAGCCACCTGGTCTCTGTCCCGTGAGAGCCCTTCCTGCCCCGGCACTCACCCTGGACACTGTGGGCTCCACGGCCGCGGCGCCCGGCCTCTCCCGCGACTCTTCCCTCCTCAGCAGGACCCGTCTCCCCACTCGTCTGCATCTCCTGCAGTGAAGTAATCAGCCCCTCCACTTGCCTGGACGCCCCCCAGGACCTCCTACAGAGGTCGCTCAGGACCAGACAGCAGGGCACAGAGGGGAACAAATCCAGGCAGAAGTGGGGAGGGCGGTGGGCTGGGGATGTGGGAGATCTACACTGTCAGGGCTCGAGAAAATGCCCAGTGCGAGGACAGCAGCAGGAGAGGACGGAGGTACGGGCGGGGCTGACGGAAGGGCCTTCTCGGCCAGGGGTCCGGACCCGGGGGCGTGCGCCTGGGGCTCAAGCTAGCACAGCAGCCCCCCGCCCCCAGCACTCCCCTCCTCATGCCCGCGGGCAGCGTGCCCTACCTGGCGGCCGGGTTTCGCATCCTGCACTGCAGCTGTGGGTGGCCTGACGGTCAGCACCCCTGAGAAGTTTCGGAATGTGTTAGACCCACCACTGGATACTGTTACTTAGCAGGTTAATAAAAATATACCCTTCTGTGTCACAGATTTGTTTTTCCTATTTTGATAACCACATTCCAATATAATTGCTTGCCTTTGTGATCCAAGGAATTTCATTGTATGCATCTGAAAACATTGCTCTGGAAAGGGGGATCACAGCACAGCCCCGACTGTCTGCCAACAAGATCAAGGGCACAAGCGCCTCAGAACCAGAAGCGCAGCAGCTGGGGCTGGGAGAGTGCGGACGAAGCCGGGAAGCCCGGGTGGCCCCATCGGGGACTTACCATCCCCGCTGGGAACGTTATGTGTCATCATTATTACTAAACGCGAGAGCTCCCGGGACCTCCTCTGCTGAGCTCACCACTGTGCCCCCAGACCCAGACCAGAGCTGGTGCTTATGGCCCAAGAAGGGTTTATGACTTTAATGTTTTCAAGTTAAATGTTAACTGACTTTAATTAAAGGGTAGCTACTGGTTTTATTACAGTCAGCACTACTGCTGCCTCTGCCCCTCCAGCCAGTGTTTCTTATGGGCATGGGGGCACTAGGACGATGGAGAACACCGAGCTTCCCTTAGGAAGAAACGTGCTGCAGCCCCTCCAGCCACTGGGACTTGTCACCTCCACTGGCAACGAGCTGTTACCCTTCTGGTGCGGCCTGTGTCCTGTGAGCTGCTGGACCAGGACACCTCCCTTTCCGCAAGCCCAGAGAGGGTGTGTCGGCCTCCGGGTGAAATCCTAATGACAGCACACCTGTGAGAGCCTCTTTCACTTGTCCATATAAATACCTTGGATTCCTTTGTTTCATGGTGGCGGGCAGTATTCAGAGGGAGTGAGAAGAAAATTTTAGAGGTTGACATCAGAGCTATTTTGTCCCAGGGCTTGATGCCGTTCCGGTCTCTGGAGATTTCTCAACTCAACCTGGCCCAACTTCCCTCGCGCTGAGGGACGCATTTGTTCTGGGGCTTGTCGCTGTAACGAGCGCGCCTGTATTCCCGGAGGACCACTCCCCTAGAAGCTCGCACATTCCCGGCGGGGAATGCGTGGCCTCTCCCTGTCCTGAGCCAACAGAGACTGAATTCTCAGCGGGCAGACGTTGTACGGGGAGGGTTTTATGGGAAACAGGCCCGTCACCCAAGCCCACAGCCATCTCCTCAATCAGAGGCAGAGCCCGGTCCCCGAAAGTTCAATCTTTCTCACCAATGCACTCCTGCAAAGCAGCCCACAGAATTAAACCACACGGCACAGGTCTGCAGTGTACAACACGCCACGCAGCTTAGACAGACGGGGGCTGTCTCTGGAATCTAAATGAGCTCCTGCTTCTTCCGTTCTGCACGGTGCCGAGGAACCTCATGGAATGCCCTTTAAACACTGAAAAGAATCGATAAAAAACATTTTCCTAAAAGAAAGAAAGGTTAACTCCTGTGTACTTCCTCCTGTTTGTTCTTCTTGTTCTTACTTGTCTGGGACAGTAAGGAGGAACGGGTCATCGCAAGCCCCCTCCTCCCTTCTCCGGCTTCTCTGCGGGGAAGGGGCTCCAGAGTTCACGCCGGCGGCTCACAGAGCCCCGGAAAGGCGGCCCCGCCTGCACACTCCACACGAGGGAAGCTGCTCGGGGAACTTCCCGTGGCTCTGATGACATTCGACGCTCAGGACAGGGTGTGAGGCCGCCCACCATCCCGCCCTTCCCATGTGCAGAGCCTGGCAGGTGGGACCAGGTGGGGGGACATGGCCAGATGCTGGCAGCAGGGGTCGGTTAACCCCTAGTGCTTTTAGGCCGACAATCGTATTTGGGTTCCCCAGTCCTGAAGGAGAGGGGGTGGGAGGTCATAGGGAGCCGACCTCAGACCGTTATTAACCTCTGAGCCCATTTCCTCTTGTGCAACATGGGCCTAATTATGGTCCCCGAATGGCGGGCGGCCCCACGGTCACGGTTACGTCCTCAGTGAGTGGCTGATGCAGACATAAAACAGGTACTCGATAAATATTGGGTGAATGGATGGATGATGGGTGGATGGACGGATGGCTGACCACAGTGAGGATGTAGTGAGATAATGGATGTAAAGTCCTCAAATTTTGCTACTAACTTTATCCTATTTATTGGTCTTGAAAAGGATCAGTGTCTATGGTGCAGTGAAAACGATTCAGCCTCCACAGGTGTCTGTGTGGTCGGCCCTGGGGGCCCGGGGCTCGGCTGCACAGGCTGTGTTTAAAACCTGGCATCAGCGTCCAGGTCCTTTCCTAGAGCAGCCCATTTATCCTTCCTGCTGGAAGTATGAACACAAGCGGAGTCCGGAGCGTGTTCTGTCCTTAGCGGCCAGAGCGAAGATACAGGAGACGTTCAGGGCTGGGAGAGACTCAGCATTGCCCTGAGCTGCGCCAGGCGTCCCCCGAGCCTGTTCGCTCCTCAGGTAACGTGTGGTTTGGGGAACTCCTGCTGCTGTAGAAAGTGAGCTGATGCACAGGTGATGCCCCTTTCCTGTTGGGGCAGTGACAGGGCAGTCACCTGAGATGGATTCTAGAATCTCACGGCAGGTGAACCGCATAGTCAGTCCCTTCTTGGGTGCCCGTGGGTTCTGGCTCCTCCCAGGGCTGCAGGCCTAGCCCTGAAGGTGACCCGCACATCCCCCCTGAACACAGCCCGCTCTCCCGACCTCTGAGCCTGCATCTCCATGGGCCATCCGGATATTTGGTAAATGATAAAATCCTGAATGTCTGACGTGTGCTGGGGTGATGTCAGCAAACAACACACACGTCCTCGGGATGCGTCTGTTCCGACGGGGGAGGTCTGCGCTGGAGGGCACACCGTTTCCTGTGATTTCATAGCTGTCCTCAAAACCCTTTCAGGAGCTCTGCTGTGTCCAACGATTTTTATAATAATATTAAGATGTTGCACCCAGAGAGTCCTGGAGTGGGGGTGTGAGGACCTGAACAGACCCCTTCCCCAGTGAAACACGTGGAACTGGTAAAAGGTACTGAAAAAGCAACCATTTAACATCTCTGCAAATTGTCCTAAGAGCACAGAGCAAGTAGAGAAACACTCATCCAGGAAAACGTGCTAAATCTCAGTAGGAACAGTGTGAGTCTCTGGGCGTTTGAGCCAAGACCTGCTCCACCCCTGCCCCTCCGGGTCGGCGTGGGGAAAAGTCTACTCCACGTGGGTGTGGCCACGAAGAGGGGATTCCCGGCCTACAGTTCCCCGTTTAGGGCAGTGGGTTCTCCCTGGGAGGAGCAGGGCTTCAGCGCTTCTCGCACCCACCCCCCCCAGGCTCTTGTGCTGAAGGGCTACTCCTGGCTGAGAGGCTGGGGCTGCCTTCCCCACCCACCACTCATAAATCAGAGGTCTGAGCATCTGGGGAGAAAATACGTGCAAATGACGTATCTGATAGAGGACCTGTATCCAGAATGCATAAAGAACTCTTACAACTCAATAATAAAAAGATGAATGACCCAATTAAAAATGGGCAAAAGACTTGAATAGATATTTCTCCAAAGACGAGATCCAAACGGCCAATAAGTACATGAAAAGATGCTCAACATCATTATTATGGACTAATCAAAACCGAAGCAAATCAAAACCACAATGAGCTACCACTTCACATATACTAGGAATGGATGTAATAATAACTGAAAAAACCCCAGAAGATAACAAGTGTTTGTGAATATGTGGATGAATTAGAACCCTGATATATTGCTGGTGGGCTGAAAATGCTGCAGCTGCTTTGGAAAATAATCATCTGGCAGTTCTTCAAAATGTTAAACATGGAGTTACCACACGATCCAGCAATTCCACTCCTAGGTATACACGCCAAAGAACTGAAAACATATGTCCACACAAAAAACGTGTACACAAATATTCCTAATAGTATTATTCATAACAGCCAAAAGGTGGAAGCAATCCAAGCGTCTATCAACTGAAGAGTGAATAAACAAACTGTGATAGATCCATACGGGTTATTTTCCTATGGCTACTGTAACAAGTGACTACAAACTTGGTGGCTTCAAACGACACAAATTTATTATAGTTTTGTAGTCTGGAATCTGAAATCAGAACTGTGTTCATTCTGGAGGCTCAAGGGGAGAATCTGCTTCCTGCCCTTTCCAGCTTCTGGAGGTCACCTGCATTCCCGGCTCATGACCCCACACCATTCCAACCTCTGCTTCCACTGTCACAGCTCCTTCTCTGATTCCGACCTTTGGCCTCCTTCTTATATAGGACCCCTCGTGATGACACGGAACCCACCTGGATGATCCAGGGTAATCTCCTCATCTCAAGGTCTTAACTGGACCGGCCTGCAGAGTCCCTTTTGCCATACACTGTGACTCAGTCGCAGGCTCCAGGATTAGGAGGTAGACCTCTTTGGGGGGCCACTATTCTGTTTATGACATCACACTATGAAAAACTATTCAGCAATAAAAAAGAATGAGGTACTGATAATGCTCCAATGTGCATGAACCCTGAAAACAGTGTGTGTGCTAACAGAAAGAAGCCAGGCACAAAAAACCACATATTATACGATTCCATTTACATAAAACATCCAGAATAGGCAGATGTACCAAGACAGAAAAATACATTGGTGACTGGTTGTCTAGGCGGTGTGTGCGTGCATGTGTGCATGTGCGCCGTGAGGGGGGGGTTAGAAAGGGAATGGGAGGCAACTGCTAAGGCATGTGGGGTTTACTCTGGGGTGATGAAAAGGTTCTAAAATTATATTGATGGTGATGGTCCCACAACTCTGCAAATATACTAAAAACTATGAATTTTACATTTTGAAAGAGTAAATTTTTTGGTATATAACTTTTATTAAAATAAAATGGTAAAATGGTGGGTGCCTTGGCAAGAACCGGGGTAATCAAGTCATCATGTTTTTCATCACCAAGCCTTCATGGTGGGAAAAAAAAATTATTTCACTAAAGAACGTCCTTGATGAAGCAGAAGCAGAAAAAATTAATTTTATTAAATCTTGACTCTTAAACATATTTTTTTATTCAGTGTGATGAAAGGGAAAGTACAGATAAAGTAAATACCAAAGGAAAGTGTTTGTCTTGATGTAAAGCACTTGTGTGACTGTTTGAGTTGCCAGCTGAACTAGCCACTTTTTTTCATGGAAAATTATTATTACTTAAAAGAACAACTGACAGGCAAACCTTAGTTAGTCATATTCGAGTGTTTGGCAGACATTCACTCGCAAATGAACAAAGTGTGTCTGTCACTTCAAGGAAAACAACTGGCAACGTCTACTGCCAATGATAAAAGTTAGAAAATTTTTCAAGCAAAAATTAGATTTTCAGAAAACTTGTGTCTGCCATTGTGAGCTTCAAAGTGTCCCAACAATCAGAGACTTTTCAGATGAGACTGGTGGTGATATTAACAAACGTGATTTTAAAAATATTATATAATTAAGCTATACATAACTCAGAAAAACAATTTCAAAAGACTAATCCACGATGTTATAAAATTATGCATCGGTTAAAGATTCATTCTAAGTACAACATAGGTCAACGGACTTCAATTTAGCAGAGTCTGAAAAGTTCAATGAGATGGTTTCAGCTTCCACACTGCAACTAACCTTTAAGAAACTAACACATCAACTTGTGGTATAACATCAAAGGAGAGTATCCACCATTATCTGAAAAGATGATTAAAATACCCCTTCCTTTTCATCTACACATCTGAGTGAGGCTAAATTTTGTCATATATTTTTCAACCCAAACAACATCACACAGTGAATGCAGAAGCAGACACAGCAGTCTTTTTCCTGACTTTAAATAAAGAGATCTGCAAAAATCTTCTCACTAATTTGGCTTTGTTTTTGCAAAATACGGTTGGTTTCCATAAAATACGTTATTTATGTTAGCATGTAATGGGTTTATTTTTCTTATTTTTAAATGAATTAATCAATAACTCGTTTTCAAAGGTCCTCGTTTGAATGTTCACTGTGATAAATGTGGAAAGACTTCAGCGGTCTGCACAAGCGCTCTTTGGGTCTTCAATACGTTTTCAGAATATAAAAGAGCCCGCAGAAGTGCTGGCACCTCCTGTTGGATGTCAGCCGGGGTGATGCTAAGTGGGGAGAGAGCAGAACGAGGAAATTCAGAGCACTGAGGGAAGGAGATGGGCTCCTGACCAGATAGGGTGGTCAGGGCAGACCTCAGAGGGAGTGTGTGGGGTGAACTGTGCCCCCTCACAGCTGTATGTTGAAGCTCTAGTGCCCCAGTACCACAAGATGTGACTGTATTTGAAGACAGGGCCTTTAGAGGTGATTAAGGTTAAATGAAGTCATATGGGTCGGCCCTAATCCAATACGACTGGTGTCCTTAAAAGAAGAGGAGGTTATAGGACACAGACACACAGTAGAAAGATGATGTGAGGATCCAGGGAGAAGATGGCCATCTAGCAGCCAAGGAGAGAGAGGCCTGGGAAGACCAAACCTTGACCTCGGACATCCAACCTCCAGAACTGTGAGACACAGCATTTCTGCTGTCTAAGCTGCCCAGTGTGCGGTATTTTGTTATGGCCGCCCAAGCTGACTCGGGAGGGTCATACGACGTTTGAAGAAGTGAAGCAGTCAAGCAGATACAAGGAGGAAGGGCATTCCACATGGTGGGAACAGTAAGCGCAAAGATCCCAAGGTGGGAACAGCGCGTGACTAAGCAGCAGCTCCAGTGGGGGCCGGAACAGAGCGATGGCAAGAGTAGGAAGAGGGTGGGTGGTGAGAGGCGTGGCTGCTACAAAGATCTTACTCTGCTTTGAGCGAAAAGTGGACTCTCTCAAGTACTGGGGGCTGACCAGTGAGGGGCCAGACTCAGGCTTCGGCAGGATCCCTCAGACTGCTGTGCTGAACAAGGATCAGGGGTCAGCCAACTACGGCCTGCCCGCCACCGTCTGATTTTGTAAATAAAGTTTTACTAGAATGCAGCCACGCTCACTCATTCACATACTGTCTATGGCAGAGGTGAGTAGTTGAGTAGTTGAGTACAGGCGGCAAAGCTGAAAATATTTACCATCTGGCCCTTGACAGGGCAAGTTTGCAGACCCCTGCCATTGACTGCAGGGGTGAGTGTGGATGCTGGGACATCCATCAGAAGATGATTTTGTCCCTCGAGCGCAGAGTATTCAAAACTGAGCTCTTTAAGAGTGATATCAGCCAGATAATGTAATAGGAAGCCCCAAAGCATTCTTCTCCCATGGGAACAATTACTTAGCAACAATACATAGATCAACTGCCTTTGAGAAAAATCCAGAAACCAGTTAAGAGAGTCCTGCATCTGAGAGGAACCAAGAAGAACCACATCAAAACTGGCAGGAAAATTCATGACATTTACTCACCACAGCCCCTCCCCTAGCACAGAGGGGTGTGATTGGTAAAAAGTCCCAACTCTTGGCTTCTCCTTTGGGAGGGAACGAGAGGAATGAAACATGGTCCAACACTCTGACTTTTAAGGGGAATAGCTGAGAGACTAGTTTCTGCCTCACCTGAACCTAAATGCTGACAGGTAAGGGAGCTGGGTTGGAGGCCACTGAAAACAAGATAAATTCCACGGCGGTCCGGCACCAGAGAGGTGGGAGGACCACAGACAGAAACTAGGGAGAAATCCTGAGTAGAAACAGGCAATTCTCAAAGAGGAGGTTACATGCACCAGCCCAGAGAAGATCATCCCCAGAAAGTCTTGAGAGGTCTCCAGAATCTCTGGCCAGTGGATTGCTGAAGGTCTGCCATGTACAAAGCCAGATTATAAAGAACGAGAAAGGTGGTCATTTTTTCCAAATGTGTCAATCCCAACCAAGAAACAGGGAAATGTGGCCTGATAAAAAGAACACGTTAAATCTCCCAAAACCAACTTTAAAGAAATGGAAATATATGATTTACCAGATAAAGAATCCAAAATAACCATCAAAAGCATAGTCAATGAACTAAAAGATACTGCAGAAGGACAACTAAATGAAATCAGGAAAACAATGCATGAACAAAATGAAACATCAACAAAGAGAAATGATAAAGAAGAAAGAAACAGAAATTCTGGAGCTGAAGAACACAATAACTGAATTGAAAAATTCACTAGAGGAGTTCAACCTTCAACTTGATGTGGCAGAAGAGAGACTGGTGAACTCAAAGGCAGGGTATTCAAAATGATCAAGTCAAAGGAACAAGAAGAAAATAGGATGAAGGAAAGTGAAGAGAGCCTGAGGGACTTATGGGACACTGTCAGGTGGAACCACTTATGCATTATGGGAGCCTCAGAAGGAGAAGAGAGAGAAAGGGGCAGAGAGCCTGTCTGAAGAAACAATCACCGAAAACATCCCAAATCTGAGGAGAGAAACAAACACACAAATTCAAAAAGCTTAAAGACCTCCAACTATGATAATTCTAAAGAGACCTGTACTGAGACACATTATAATCAAACTGTTAAAAGTCAGAGACAAAGAGAGAATCTTAAAAGCTGCAGGAGAAAAGTAACTTGTCACACAAGGGAGCTCCTGTAAGATTATCAGTGGATTCTCAGCAGAAACTTTGCAAACTAGAAGGGAGGGGGTGACGTATCAAGTGCTAAAGCAAAAACTGTTAACCAGGAAAACCGTATCTGCCAAAACTGTCCTTCAAAAATGAAAGATAAAGTAAGACTTTCTCAGACAAACAAAAGCTGAGGAAGTTCATCACTAGATCTGCCCTGAGAGAAGTGCCAAAGGGAGTCCTTCCAGTTGAAATGAAAAAGATGCTCAACAGTAATGCAAAATCATACGAAATATAAAACCACCTGGTGCAAGTACATATACAGACAAATAAAATACCTGCAGTATTGTAATGTTGGAGCATAAATCACTTTTAATTATAGTGTAGAATTTTTTTCTAAGAGAAGCATAGAAAGTAACTATAAATCTGTGTGAATGAACATGCAGTATAAAAAGAGGTAATTTGTGTCACAGTAACATAAATGGCGGGCGGTGGGCAGGCATGTAAGGGAGTAGAGTTTTCATATGTGACTGAAGCTAGGTTCTTATCAGTTTAAGTGAGATTGTTACAACTTTACAATGTTTTATGTAATTGCAATAGTAAGCACAAAGAAAACATCAATAGAACAGACACGAAGGGAAACGAGAAGGCAATCAAAATACATCATTACAAAAAGCCAGCCTACGGGCGTCCTTTTGCCTGAAGTGAGTCGCTCCAAGACAGCATATAGTTGGATTTCGTTATTTTGTTTAGATCCATTCAGTCAATGTGTGTCTTTTACTTGGGGAGTTTAGTCCATTTACATTTACTGTAATTACTGATAGGAGGACTTGCTGTTGCCATGTTGTTACTGTTTTCTGTATGTCTATCGCTCTCCTTTCCTCTCCTGCGGCCTTCTCTTGTGTTTTGCTGATTTTTTTTTTTTTTTTTGGTAGTGACAAATCCTTAGCTAGACTAAGAAAAAAGAAAAGACTCAAATAACTAAAATTAGAAATGGGAGAGGGGGGATGCCACCAGAAATAAAAAGGATTATAAGAGAACGCTATGAACAATGATGTGCTAACACATCGGATAACCTGGAAGAAATGGACCTATTCCTAGAAATAACCAACCTACCAAAACCGAGCCATGAAAAAATAAATAAAAATCTGGAAAGCCCCATAGCTAGCAGCTAGAAATGCTGCTGAGGAGAGAGGCAGGCCTGGTAGATGCCACTTCAATGCCTCCTCGGAACCGGGAGTTTGCAAGACCAGTAATTCCTCGTTTCCCAGAGAACGGCCGTGCCGACAAACCCGTGGAGTCAGAGGCGTCAGGGAACGCGGCTTCCGGGGGCAGCTGGCTGCGGCCGGCGGCTCTGCGCCGTCTGGACGCGTGAAAGGCGGTGAGGGGAGGTCAAGTTTAACGTGCTTGTCTCAGGAACCTGGTCTCACGGCTGCCAGAATCGTCCTTCTAGAACATTCCCTGATGGCGTCACTTGCCTGCTCTGACACGGCAGGGCCGCCGTGCTGCCGGCAGGAGGATGTGACTGTCGCCTCCCACTCCTCTGTGCCGGGCCCTGGTCTGGGCAGCTCGGGGTACTCGCCGCCCCCGCCTGGCCGGCTCTGGACGCCGGGACTCCGGGGCCCCTGGACTACAAGGGTCGGCTCCGGCCCAGCTCCCCACGGAGCCCCTGCCCCCTGCGGCCCACCCCACCTCCGGCCCGAGAGAGGGCTCCCACTTCTCGGCGGCCCAGCCTGCTCCCCACTGGCACCCACGGGGCCTGCGGGAATGGGCACCCTCCTCACAGCCTTCTTTCTGCTTCCGGAACATGCCCCCCGCCCACCTCTGTCCTGCCCACAGGCTACTTCCTTGACCTGGAATAAAGGCTCCTCTTCCTCCTGATGGCAGCTTAAATGCTGTTTCCCATGGGTGCCTTCCCAGGCCAGCCGATCCCGCTGCAGCCCCCTCCTGCACGAATTACCCCCGCAGTTCGCAGTCAGAATGGACCCATTTCTTTCACATCCACCCCAGACTTCAGGCTGGGGGCAGGGAGCGGGGCACGGGGCACGAGGGCTGTTTGCGGGGAACCGCCAGCCGCAGTGCCGGAGCCACAGGAGGACCTACCAGGTCCACTCACTCCATGACCAAGTCTTCAGTGAGCAGCTCCTGGGCGCCGGGCACCCCTCTGATGACATGACCGACAAACAGGCACCGTGCACGCACGAGCGGGGCGTACCTTTCTAGAAGGGGGAGGCGGGCGGCAGACGGAACAGGCAAGGCGGACAGAACTCAGGTCGAGGGGCAGGGCTGGGGCCGTCAGTGGGGCAGGGGAGGAGGTGCCAGCAGGAGGCAACCTTGAAGCCTGGGGAGCCGCAGCCTCGAGACCCTGATGGACGCTGCCCCGGACCACTCCCACGTCCCGCAGGGCAGTGCAGGCCCCGATGGCGAGGGGTCACGGCACGGGGATGGGCCTTACTCCTCAGATTGGAGCCTGGAGACGTGGGACCCCACCATGGTCAGGCACACGTATTTGAACTGTACCCCAACATCTAGAGTGACAACGTCAGGATGGTGGGCGGTGTGCTGACCACCGTCCTTGCCCCTGACCGGCGGCCCACGGGGCTGTATGGGCCCTCAGGCCGAGAGGACACCCAGTGGTCAGAACACAGCAGCGGGAAGGCTCCGTGTCCTGCCCGTCCCCTTTCCTGGCCAGGCATTCCAGAAATCTACCGATTTCAAGTGTTCTTTCCACTGTTCTGGACTGAAATGTGCAAAGAGACCATTTATTTTCTTCCTTCCTTCCTTCCTTCCTTCCATTTATTTATTTATTTAACTTATTTTTGGTTGCATCGGGTCTTAGTTGTAGCATGGAGACCATTTATTTTCTAAGGAAAAAAGGTTCTTGTCAGAGTTGGCATGAGCCTGAGCCTGCCGTCGCTGATGGGGTGAGAGAGCGCAGCCCTGTCCCCAGGGTGTGGCTGGACACCCGCATCCTCCTGCCTGCCTGGGTGCTGAGGCCCTGCATGCAGCAGGGAAGGCGTGTGGGAAGAACCCACCATCCCCACCTGCCCAGGGGGCACCAAGGCTCCTGGGATCATACGCAAAGCAAACCTAAACCTGCCTTTAGGGCGCCCAGCTCAGCACGGCCTTCCGGCCGATTCCATCTGTCTTGCCGAATCCGGACACTGGCCCTATCGCATCCCTCCTCCTGTCTGCAAACCTCCTTGAACAGGGGCCACCCTCTCTCCCCCTTCCCTTTAATCCCTCCCCACAAGTCCCGCTACAGCAGCTGGAGTGAACGCAAGCAACATTTCATCAAATTACTTGCGCTCTTGGTATAAAATCTTCCGGTGTCTCTGTCCGTGGAGCCACCGGGTTCTCTCCCACCCCAGGGCCTTTGTACCTGTCCTTCCCCTGCCCGAGACTCACTCTCCCAGCTCTCCTTCCTGCAGGAGGAGCCTCAGGCGCCCCCTGGCCACCCCTTCTCAGGCAGAACCAGTCTCAGCACCGGTGGAGCCCTTGGTGGTGCCGATTCCAGTTTCTGTTTAGGGTGGTGTTCCATCTGCTTTCTAATTGCCTCCCTCGAAAGCCTGGGGGTCCCTGAGGCTGGAAACCTCGTCTTTCTATTTTACCCCTGGATTTGCATCATCTCCTGTTTTACTTGGCACACACTACGTTGTTCCACAAACACATACTGAAAGGAAGAAATCAGGTAAGCTTTGGATGTTCTTGTGGGCTCACCTGCTTCTGTATGTCACTTGTTGAATTACATAAGCTACAGGCATGTTATATTTACCAACAGAAATTTTCCAGCAGGAAAAAAAAAAAAAAACCCTGAAAGTTTATACCTTAGAAACAAAGTTAAATGAAGAGGTTAAAACAAACCCAGCTCAATTATTTCCCAAACCACAAACACTGAAAAACCCAGATGAAGAAGAAATTATTCCTGATTAATTTGCATCTTTCTTAAATCCAAATGGAACCTTTTCGTTTTAACATCACTCAATGCTTAGACAGAAGGAAGACTTGTGTTTTTAAAGACAAATGATTCGAGTCTTATTTGTAAGTCTCCACGTAGCACAGATAATTCTAAGCGTGTTCAACAAAGTTAATCAGACACTGGAGATTAAATTTTTCCTTTATAGTATGCGCACATTTAAAGTTATGAAGAAACATTCTAAGCAAATAAATCATGCTTTATAAATTACTAATACCCAAGGAACAGATTAAGACGTGAGATGAAGTCGTGTTCAAGTCTCAGATGTGTAGGGACACACACATCTCTGATCTATTGTCAAACGTCTCTAAATAAAACAATTATAGATGTTTGCATATATTTATCGTCTCGTGTGTTTTTACAAGCGGGATGCCAAGAGTGTGCTCGGAGCTGCACAAAAGATGAAACAGGACGAGGTCTCAGCCCTTGGGGCCTACAATCAAAGTGAGGCAGATAAAACAATTCAGACATGAAATACATCAGTTGAAAAGCCTGTTAAAATTTATGAGGTGCAAGGTTTGTTGGCTTTTCCAGGAAAGGCAGAACCGAGAGGGGAGCCAGATTACTGAAAACCACCATGGGCGAGTGAGTTTCAGGAGGAAAGTTGAATAACAGGTACAAGTGCCCCGAGCTGGAGGAGAGAAAGAGCGGGTGCGTGTCCAAGGGCGAGGCCGGCTGGGGAGGGAAAAGCAGGACCCTCAGGTGAGAAAGCCAAGGGCCACCTCTGCCTCAGGCCCAAACAGACGACTTGGTTTCACCTCAGGGGGAGGTGCTATTGCTCAGGTATAAACACGACCACTGGTATCTGGGACTGGTCCCTCTACTTAGAATCCAGGGTCTTTTCTCTGCACGTCTCTCCCTGCCGGGGGCCTGGAACCGCCCTGAGCGCAGGGCTGATCCTCCTGTGTGAGCCGAATGGGACAGAGCAAGAATCACTGTCTTCTCCCCTCACTGGCCTGGTTCCCTGCCCAGACCCTGCTTCTGGAAACAGTACGACACCTCTGACCACAGGACCTAAGACGGATGGCTACAGGAAGGAGTCGGTCCTCTCCCCGGGCCTTGGATTCAGTGTTAACTCGGTTAAACCATTTCGGAAATCACCTTAAAAATCTGGAGCCCTCCCACTTTGCAAGCCCCATTTCCGTCTCCTTCCCAACTCTGGCTTGCTGCAAATAATGGTAATAGTAATAATAGGTGATGCTTCCAGAACGGCTACCACGCAGGTGTTTTGCTAAGTACTTTTCAGGCCGCGCACCTCGGGAGGATCCCCGAAGCGAGAAAAGCAAGTTCTAGGTAACAGCACCATGACATCGTTTATATCTCCTAAATGGAAAACAAATCTGTGCACTTTCACGTATATTTTCAACTGCGCAGGAAAGTAAACACACAAAGCTGGGCGCACCGGTTACTCCAGGGGAGAATCAGTCGAATGTGGTGCTCCTTGAATGGCGTGGCTTGACTTTCCAATGATGGGGAATCACTCATCTGCTACTCATGCAGTTAAAAAGTGAATTAAAAACAAAAAAATACCAATGAAAGTGGCTGCTTTCTGCTGCTTAGCTTTCGTTCAGAAAAGGCGCTAAGAACTGGGTAGGCTACCGTGAGGCTGTCAGCCCTCAGGTTACCCACGCCCCTGCCCCGGGCTGGGGTCTTCCGCACCCAACCACCCAGGCAGTGCCGGCTGGTGCCCCGGGCACAAAGTGACGTGGAAGGTGCCGGTGGTGGGTCGGCTGGGGGAGGAGGCGGAAGTGGGCCTCCCTCCACTGGCCCTCACCTCCCTCGCTCTCTGCCCAGGCCTCACTTCTGATGCGACGAGCTAAGACAAGACCTCGACAGGAAGACAGAAGCTCTCTTCCCGGGTCTCAGAGTCAGCATTTCCTCGGTTAAACCGACTTGGAAATCAGTATAAAAGCCCAGTGGAGGAGATGCTGTACACCTGCGCACCACCCCACCCTGCAGTGGGGGTGTCTGGGGACGAGGAAGTGAGCAGAAATACAAGGGCCGAGGTGCAGGATGGAGAGGCTCCCCCATCGCAGTGTCCCCCATACTCCTTGCCCCACTTCAAGCCGCCGGCCCTCCACCGCTTCCTCAGGGGTTTCTCCCTCCTCCCTCCCAGGAGCCCTGAGGCCTCCCAATTCTCAGTCTCTCTACAGCAATCAGATGAAGACCACAAAGCCAGGAAGCCACGCCCACCTTTCCCAGTCCCTGCGTCACCCTGGGACCCTGAATCCCGCAGGCGCTGCTCTCCACACCTCCTTCCTCAGTCGTGGGGCGCCCGGGACAGCGCGAGGACAGCTTTTCCCTCCCGCCTCAAGCTCCGTAAGCTCTGCCTGCTTCGTTCACACTTCTATGGCCAGGCTTATTAGCACACAGTAGGCACTCAGATGTTTGTCCGATGA